ACATATGACTAGTAGATACAGTAGAAGGTCACCTGGCTGAACTGGAGCCAGGAATGTCTGCGAATGACCAGCTGGCACCTTCAAAGTGATCCATCCAAGTTGTACACAACTTTGGAAACCCTCATTCATCTACTGTCTTGTGTTGCTCGCACATTAGCCTCCAGAACAGCTTAATTTTGCATAGAATGGAATGGAATCTAGTATGGACTGAGATCTGGTATCTGTGACAATCACAGATTTGTCTTCCTTTAATGAGTCAACTGTACAATAAATATTCCACAAAAAAAAGAGAGACAGAAACAAGGCTGCATTTTGGCCACATGCTAAATGCGCACAGTTAAAGAGAGATGTTTAAAATCAGAAATAAACTCTCTCGCAGACATTTGTGGCTTACAGTGTGTCTGTTATTGTATGGCAAATAGGTATGCTGAATAAATTCCAATAAAGTGAAAGGACAAATGAGAGTGTGAGAGAGAGAGAGAGAGAGAGAGTGAGTGTGTGTGTGTGTGTGTGTGTATTTGTTTGTTTATGTGTTAGCTTCAGGAGGTGACTCAGTGCTGACATTAGCACATCACCTCTAACAGAAATCCAATATATTAGGAATGAGTGCAGTTTCTTTGTGCAGATGATGTGATTAAGTCTTTCTGTGAGCCGCACCATGGCCTGCGGACAGTTTTGCCCCCACTGTCTAATTGGATAATTTAGGTGCTGGTCCAGCAGCCCTGCATGGAACAGTGTCCTCTGCCAAGAACTGGCCACATGGATAGTAAGGTGAATGCCAGCATTAAGAAAATATAGTGTGCTTTTACAAGGATGATCTATGTAGGAGCAAAATCTGGTTCTGGACAGTTCAGCAAATAGCTACATTTTTAAAATGTCTACATGACAAATAATATTATTTTATTTATGCCCTAAAGTAGGTGCCTGAACACCAGACCTAATGGTGTTGCAAGTATTTAAGGGTTGCTGTAATTAGGTCTAGTGTAAGGGTTATTTTAGTTCTACTGAATGCAGCTGAATGCACGTGGGGGTACATGACAAACAGTGAAAATATGATGATGATGATGATAACATTTGGTTTGTCTCACAATTGTATGTTTGTTTTCATTATTACTGAATGAGGAAGATGTTGTGTTTGTATATAAACACAATGGCTCGTTGTTAGGCACACTTTAATGTTAAAGTGATTACATCACACTCTTCCACTTCTTCTCTAACCTCCTCATTTGCCTGTTTCACAGTGGCATCTCTGGCCTAAAGGAGTAATAGCAACCATAAAAGCACAGTACATTCAGATTCAGTCTACATAAGCTTGTACACACAACAGAAGCCGTGGTTTTGAGAATTCCATTTCACAAGGAAAGGCAGAGCTACCACCAAGTGACAAAAGCCCAGTTTCAGTATGAGGGATAAGCAACTTATATCTATGGGAACTTTTCAGCTACGCAATCATCTGTCAGAACATGTGTCGAAAAGATGAGATCAGCATTATTTAGGACTAATTTAACTCCCAGTTATACTGCGATTAAGACCATCTTTTCCTAAGCAATGCAACAAATTAACAGGTTATCACATTAAACCACAATTTACCTAAGCACAATCAACATCCATCAGCATCTTCTCAGGAAAAAATACATTTATTATATAACTGGGTGTTAAGTCACACATTGAAAGTAGTCCTGATCACATTTTGTGGACATATGCTGTGCCAGCTATTGTGCCTTATTGTGCCTCTGTCTGTACACCGGATCTGACAAGGAAAGAAAACAAACACGGGGGACAGTGACAGTCAGCTGGTCATCCTGGTGAACCACCAGTGAACCTGACTCAAACACTCTCCTCCACACGGTCCCCATTTATAAAGTTCTCTGCAAACAAAAACATTACTGCTAACTAGTGGCTTTTCCCCTTTCAGAGTAGCTAGGCAACACTGAAGAACCACTTTTTGCTTGGGGGAAAAAAAGTGAAACTGAACAATCTTTCCTCAGTTTTTAACATAAAAACTTTTTGCTGCAACACCAAAGTGATCCCCACAAACTCCTTTTTAATATCAACTTCCTTGTTTGCCATTTAGTTGCCACTAACCGACCCAGTGACGTCATATTCTGTACTCACACAAAATGGTGCTACTTGTGCTCTAATAACTGTAACTTAAAACACTTATTTTTTTTAAATCCAGCTTTAACCTCTTAAGACCCAAACGCTTTCATAGCGTGCATCTTTTATTTCTCTTTGATATTTGGCTGACTGGGACCTGATGAATGTAAAAACAAAGAATTACCTGATTTTTTTTTTTACCTGATCTTTGTTTCTGATAAAAATGACATCCACATATGAGGACATTCACTTAAAATTTATAAATTTAAATACAAAGAAATGAACAGTTTCTAATATTTATGGTACTTTTATTTCATTGGGGAGAGAATATCAACTCAAAGTAAAACCAAAAAAACACATTACATGTAAGTTCTAAATTGATTTGTATGCTATTGAGTGAAATTAGTATTTAATCCTCAAGGAAAACATGACTTAGTTGGCAGGTTTTCAGGAGGGATTTTGGCCTTTCTTTACAGAAATGCTACATGGAATGTTAAGAGGTAAAAAAAGAAAAGAAAAATAACTTAAACAATCAATAATTATTGATATTGGTCTCAATTTATTTTCTGCCAATTGACAGCTGTAGTTTGGTGCTTGGTTTCCGTTCATCATTCTTAACATTCAGCTGCTTTTTCATCAGTTTGACTGTGTCTAAATTTCTGTGTGCACTGAAGCAGGGTAACATAAGGCTGGGCTTTGTCAGGAGCCTGGTCAAATGGAGTTTTGCTATCTAATTGCCAGAGATGTCAAATTATGAAACCGTGAAGCTAGAGTGTGTCAGACTGCTTTGATTTGACCAGCAAAACATCAGCCTTTTGACACTAGCATGTTCAAAATGAAAAATAAGTGGGTTGAGCTTGTGTGTCTCCCTATCCAACACGAGTGAGAACGTGTTGCCCTATCCTTCCCTGTGACATCATACAGAACCAAGAGTATAACTGTTAGAAACAGTGTTTGCAGTAGAAGAAACTTTAGATGTCAACAAATCCATAATCTCATACAGTCTTAAAAAGATGGAATTAACTGGTCAACTCAGCAACACTAAAAGGCCCAGACAAGAGAAAACTAAAGTGGATGATCACAGAATTCTTTCCAAGTTAAAATAACCCCTCCCACAACATTTAACCAAGTCAAGTCCACTTTCGAAGAGGTAAGTGTGTCATCAAAGTATTTAGTTAAGACACTTTCATCCTTTCAGGAATGTAAATACAGAGGTGTATATTAGACTTCACCTGAAAACATCTAAAAGAGCTCTGAAGAGCAGATCTCTTATATATTAAACCAAGATTTATTTGTAACAGAATGATAGGAGGAGAAAAATAGGGAGAGGAACAGCTCATGATCTGAAGCATACCATTATATTCTGTCAAACAAGGTGCAGGTAACATTATGCCATGGCCATTTTATGGTTGCTGTTGGATAAAAGTCCCTAACTTTTACTGCTAATGTGACTCTCAGGCTTGGTGCTTCAAATTGCAAATAGAAGTTGGAACCAAACCATACTGCTGAGCAACCCAAGAACCATTACAGGATTAAAAAGGATGGCAGAGCAACCCACAAACAAGCTGCTAAAAAAATAACTGATATATTTTAAGTTCACATTTAGAATAAATTTATTCCCAACACTTACACCAATGCCACTCTTTGCATATTTTTGCAGTATGATAGAATAACATATACATTTCTGTTTTTATGCTAGTGTAAAAAAAATTACTCTTGGTGTGCCCACCTGTACTCTATATCAGCTATTCCACATTAAAATACTTCGTCGCTACTACTTTACTGGCCCTTTTCCACAGCAGGCATTCTGAACAGCCATGGCAGGAAATAAGCAGGTGTAACTGATATACATGTAATGGTCAGTTTTCTTTCTTTCTTTTTCTTTCTGCTTTGATCCGCTGTCAACTGTGAAGAGCTGTGACTCATTAATGTTACTGGGTTATGTTATGTTACAAAAGATGCAGTGGTATTGATCACTGGGCCAGATTTCCATGATAGTGGCACTGCTTTCTGCTCATGCTTTGGTGTACTTTTTAATAACAGGCTTTCAAATTGTATTATCGTTAAACAATAGGGCCAGAAAAAAGAAAAAAAAACATTAACGCAGCAGGCATTCACTGTAGACAGGAATGAGCCGCAATATAACTTAATACAAACGTATTTCACGTTAGGTATTAAAATAATTCCAGTTGTTTCCAAACTTGCCACTGATCCACCGTCATAGGGGACTGATCGCTGTATTAATTAACAGCGATCTTGATCAACACGCCATGTTTCCATGTCTGCAGCGCTGCTTTCCCAGCATGCACCAGTTTCCCATCAGAAATTGCATAATTTGTTGCCTCTTTTTTATATGAGGCATGCATGGGAATTTTAACATTATGATAAAAAAAAAATTACATTAAATAAAGAACTCTACTGTATATACATTGTGCATAGTACATATAGCACAATATTGTAATGGCTAATATTTAGCTCACTTGAAACAACACGTCACTATTAATATTATTATTATTATTATTAATAATAATAATAATGATAATAATAAGGACAACGATGATAATAATGATAATGATCCCGAGTGGTTCAGATGTGAGTGTTGGCAGTGTGTTTCTGTAATGTGTCCGGGCTGAGAGCTGCAGCACGCCGCCTTGTAGCGCCTCATCGTCGCCTCCAGTCCGCTGTGTGCGCGTGCCTGCTGCAGCGGCAGAGATGTAAAGTGGATTAAAGAGCCGGGATAACGCGGTGGGATTTGAACCGCCGTTTTTTCTTTTTTCTTTGCTTTCTTTAATTTGCCGGGGCTCTCTTATATTCACCGCATCGCTTTTCTCTTTGTGCTTGTGTGTGTGTCTCTCTCTCTGTGTACGTGTGTGTGCGCGCGCGCGCGTGTTTCTCTCGTGCAGCTCCTCTCTGCTGGGATCCTGGTCTGCCAGGGGCTGCAAAACCGTGCTTGTCGACTCATTCAGAACCAAATGCTCTTGTGACAGACTGTCCACCTTCGCCATTTTAGCACGGCTAAATCCCGAAATGGTAAGTCCGACAACCTCCCATGACTTCCATAAAGGTATCGGAGACGGGATGTGTTTTTGTGGGGTTCTTTGAGAATGCATCAGCTGTTTCTTTTTTTTCTCTCTCTCTCTAAAGGGCGTCATTGTCATTACATATCAACAGATCCTCCCTCTTTCCCCCTCCTTCCTTTTCTATGTCTCGACATGCCAAAGCCATGCTGCAAAAGGTTATTAAAGGCTTGCCAAAAAAAGGATTTTATTTAGGGGGTGTCTTTACTTATGTGGCTGTTTATCTCTTCCAAGAGGAGGAGCAGCACCGTGCTAACCTGTGGTCTCTGCTCTCAGATATTCACACACATGACACCATGAGTAGGATTTCAAATCATGTTAGAGCTGATGATCATAACTGCATGCCCCTCAAATTCCACACCCCTCCTTAATTTTCTTATTTTAGGTAAACGCCAACAATTGGTGTTCACATTAGCATATTTTCCCATAATAGCCTGTCAGTTGTGTCTCCATGGTTATCACAGGCCCAGTGGAGAAGGTGCTGCATGGCAATTCCATAATCTGTACTACAACAACAAGCAGCAGGACACATTTTACCCAGACTTGGAGGTAAAGCAGGACACAGAACACAATGCCCTTCCATTGTGGCTGCAGCTGGGCTCAGCAGTCAGCTATGTGTCTTCAGAAATCCCAGCCGAATCCCAGTGACTCAAACGTGGCCCAGTTTCTGTGGGCACAGGGCTGTGTCTTTGTGGCAATTTTTCATTTAGACCGATTAGTTATTATTAGACTGGAAATTGCCTCAGAAGCAGTTTGTTCACTAGTTGCCCTGGTAACAACATGGGCACAGAGGCTTTCTTAAAGATACAGGAGGCAGCAGGCTGCCCGTCATGCTGCCTGAACAACTTAGAGAAAGAGGCTAAGCCAAGGGGAAGAGCTGAAAAAAAAAACAGACTGGCTATAGCGCAGCCACCACGTATAAGTTAATTCAGGTTTTGATTGAACTGGGAAGAGCTGGGATGAAAGGTGCTGATGGAGTGTGGTTGTGGTTAGTTTAGCATAGCTTATTGATATTTAAAATTGTAATAGTAAACAAAAGTCATGTTGGTAAGTACCTTGGTTTGGGACTTGGTTCATGTGTGAAAGAGATTTTGAAAAAGTAGTAGTGCCCACTGGGCATGATTGGGCATGGATACTTGCTAACTAACTAACAGACTAATAATTAAGCACTGCTTGAGACGTGTAGTTCAAAGGCGAGAATAAGCAGGAGAGTCCTAGTGACTTTACATCTTACTGGTATCTTATCTTACTGGTACTTATATGGATGAGTAATTAAAACCTTTCTTTTATAGAGCTGTTATGAAAAGGGAAACCATTTCTTTTACAAGGACTGACCCTTGATGCCAGGACTTTTGATGCAAGGGTCATGTATCCAATGGAAGAAGTCCAGTTTTTGGTACTTAGACATTGATTGCATTTTTCTGATGCATCACAGCCAGTCCAGTAATGATAAAGATGCACGGTGTTGTTGACCAGGTAGAATTTTCACACTGGAACATCCATTAAATCGCAAGTTTTTGATAATGTCTTTTAAATCAGTTGAATCCTTTGTGTTCAGTAGAAATGTTTGACACTGCTATATTTTAATATAATATAATGAAATTGCTTTTCTTATTTTGTGGGTTTAATGATTCATGTTATATTGTAACTTGATCAGTACAGGGATCAAAAATGAGGACAATCTATTCGCTCCTCTCAACCTCCAGATGAGCCATTCAGTTATCTGGACAGGACCTTGGCTGAGGGAGGAGAGGAGGAAAAAGCAGGAGGTCATACCTTGATAAGTTACAAGCTGACACACTGGGCACAGTGCGAGTATGGAGCAAACCGTCTTGCTTAGGAAGAAACAGTAGAACAACAAAAAGGCCTTAACAGTCGATTGTTTTTTTGATATCCAAGTGTGTCTGTGGAGACATGTAAAATATCGCTGTATAATATGTATTATCTGAATTAAACACATTGTAAAAATGAGCTTCCATTTTATTAATTTAGTCCTGGAAAAAGGACAAATAGTTTAAAAATCAGTTAATAATTTAAAACATTTAGTTAATCAACATGCCAAATATTCACTGTCCAACTTGTCAAATTTGAGAATTTGCTACTTTGTCATTAGAAATGTGCTATCTCTGAGTCTTAGACTTTCAGAATATATATAAAAATGTGAGAAAATTTGTTAAATTTGTGAGATAGTTATGTCTTTTTAACTTTTTATAGATAAAATAATCTCTATGTGTTTGCGTACGTAAAAATAGCACACCCTGTTTAAATGTTTTCAACGGTGTATAGGAGAGGTAATTGAAACCCTATGAAATTCATCTTTTATGCATAAATATTCAGCTGGAGATTTTTATGATTAATCTGGTAATATTTTTTCAAATAATTAACTGTTAGTTACTAAACAATTACAGCTATAATTAGAAATTGGGCCAAGAGCTCTCCTTTTAGCCCATAGACAGTTCTTAACCCCAAAATATTTCTTTTCAAATCAGCGAGGCAAAGACAGTTAATCATTTTGTTGTTTTATTTTTTCCCTTAGTGGCATCAGCAGGCAGAAATTATAGGGGTGAAGAATAGTAATGACACTGAGGATCTGAGGTCATTTCTTTAGTCCTTCATTTATACCTTGAATTATGATGGCTGTGGACTGGTAGTCATTCTTGTTCTAGTTCTTTGCTTGTTTGCTTGAATGGCACATGGGTAGTTGGTGCATTAAAAACTAAAAGCCTGTAAACTCCTGAGAATTTTGTGGACACGTAAATTTGAAAGCTGACGGCCATCTGCAGAGAGCCTTGCACTCATTATCGATCTTAACTCCATTTCACATATGACATGGCTCTAGTAGTGAGGCAAGTTTCTTAACTCAAGCCATTAAACTACAATGCTACCACACGTACTGTAGATATTAGCTTTCTGTCTCTGGATTTATAGGTCATCTTTTAACACTTTTCTCAGTGCTGTGCCATATAATATTGTCTGTTATAACACAGGTATAATTATTATGTGATGTAAAACTTACAAAACTTACATTTCTGGATATCAGTGCTGCAACGACATCGTGCAGCGACAACCACGAGACAAGCTCGGAAACGTTGGGGAGCTTTTGATGACAATCTAGCATCTGAAAATGGAGCTACTTCAACATCCAATCAAGCATAGTTATTTTCAAAATAAGAACAGTTCCTAAAGGTGGAAACAACAAACATCTCTGACAATTCAGTCAAATGCAAGAATGAAATAAACGCAGCTGATGATGTGTGACCCAAAACTAAACAAATATCTCAGCTAAGCATCACTGAAGTACTCACTTGTTACCTTGCGTATGACAGGAAGTGCAAACAGTGGATGGAAATCACTGATGCATGACGGTAAAGGAGGGCTATAAGCAGCTAGTTAAAACACTCCACCCTATGATAATATTCCACACTCTCCTGAAAAGTTACCAGATAAAGATAATTTACTTTTCATATATAATTTACTTTAAGTGTTAAGCAGTCATGTAGCGTTATAGTTACTAATAAGTTGTAATATTTAATAATCAATATGTAATAAATTCACAGGAAACTACTACAACTACTTTTGTGTTTACATTTGGTATAAAGCTATTATTGCTCTATAATTCTGCTGCTGCTTCTTCTGGCACCTTAAAGCAATAGATTCAGACTTTCAATTAAGCAGTCTGTGATCAATGACAGTAACTCTTCAGAAAAGAAGGATGGAAAATGCCCTTCATTTTGTTTGCACTGCTAAATGTTGCTCCCTTTAATAAGCTGATAAAATGCTGGCAAAACACACGTTTTTAGGGCTTTTTTTCTATATTATTAGAAATAGTGTTGCAAATTTCTTTGAAATATTGTAATATAATGTAAAGGCTGTATTGTCCACCCCTGTTTCTCCCTCTATCATATGTCAATCATTAGTATCCTTCACTAGCACAAATCCTATTGCAGAATGGATGAGAATGGAAAACCAGTATAGAACTGGTTCCCAGTAGTTCAATACTCTGGAATTGTTAGATTCCGGTTATCAGTTCCACTTGCACTTGCGCTGCAGTCTGCTGATTTCAGTTTGTGTGCCAGAGGGGGAAATAATGGCATAGTCTACAGCAGCGGTCTCCAACCTTTTTTGCGCCACGGACCGGTTTATGCCCGACAATATTTTCACGGACCGGCCTTTAAGGTGTCGCGGATAAATACAACAAAATAAAACTAGTACCGGTACCGAAAAAAAGAAGATTTATTCATAACACACGCGAAAAGACCCAGAAAAACCGAGTTAACGATAAAAACGATAACAAAATAACGCTGAAAACCAATAAAAACCCTGAAAACGATACATTTCACACCTGAGCCTCAACTCATGCGGCCCGGTACCAAACGACTCACGGACCGGTACCGGTCCGAGGCCCGGGGGCTGGGGACCGCTGGTCTACAGTAGGGGTGCAACGATTCACAAAATTCCCGGTTCGGTTCAGTTCGATACTTTGGTGTCACGGTTCAATATTTTTTCGATACAAAAACATGTTCATGCCTTTTTAATTTGTCATTTATTAAAATTATAAATATATATTTTAACTCAAAAGTACAGTTTTTAAATTTAATGTTGCTGAAACAACAAAATCGTCGATGACTAATTTTATAGTCGATGCGTTGTTTGAAGCTTTGTAAGATCCCAAAAGACCCAGGAATAAGTAGTAGGATTTAAGAGTGTAATAACGGACTGAAACAGAAGATGTTTGACTCAGTCAGCGCTCCAGATGAGTTAATTGATAATCGCGTTAGTTGCGCATTAACGCTGACAGCACAAAAAAAAAAAAATAGAGTCTAGGGCTGCCACGATTAGTCATCCCTGTCAGTGCACCCCAGGGTGGCTGTGGCTACAATGTAGCTTGCCATCACCAGTGTGTGAATGTGTGTGTGAATGGGTGGATGACTGGATATGTAAAGCGCTTTGGGG